TTCTAACCATGCTTTCACATCTTCCTCTGTAACTTCTGTTTCTCCCAACTGAAATGTATGATGAAAATCACTGGACTCAAACCCCTCAAGGTCCAACTCAGTATCAAGGTTGTATAACATTTTTTTTTTCCAACCATTAGCTAATGTTAGCCTTTGCAGTTCCTTCCATGATGCTGCAAGGTTGAACAAAGCAGACTTCAGGTTATACTTTTTGACCGTCTCCAATATACACAGGCCTCTGGTACTTTTTTTCAAATATTCATCCTCTTCAGTTACTAATAGTACATACCTCATCTATGTACCTAGACTGGTACAGCCTCTTGCAGGCTGTACCAGTGGATCAGGGAGGTGATATTAAGGGGCAGAAATATTGTCTTAATTTTACCATCCGTGCTGCTTAAATTTTGAGCTCTTGGGTTAGCAAGTGTATACCACGCAACAGAAGAGCCTCGACATCCTTGTGATCTAGTTTAAGGACCTCTAGCTGGTGCGTGTGTACTTCAGGGACAAAATGTGTAAAAAACTTAGTCAACAAATACAAACCTGCCACCCTAGCCTGTCTTACCTGTGTAATTTCTTGGCAGTCCTTCAAAGCATAAGGCCATGCTGATTTACTAGTGACTGTCAGTTACAAATGGTGAGAACCATCAGCAATAACACAGCATATTGCTGAGAAGCAGTCTTTGCTGAGCTTACAGCCTGGTATTCTATCCTCATGCTGAAAGACTAGTGTACTGGAAGGGAGCAAACATCAAGAGACCAGTCTTCATCAACATTATACAGCTGAGACTGAAGGAGTTTCCTCACTGTCCATCAGATCATTAAACATTCATCAGAATGGTTCAATTTTGTTTGTGTGTGCACTACCAGCCTTGCTGTAAGTCTTCACATTACTCATGCCATGACATTTACAGAAGGGCCAAAGCCAAACATCATGTGCCTGCAATTCTATGTTCATATGCTGTCCTAACCTATAAGCAGCAGAGTGAAGATCAACACTATGAGCATTAACACTAAAAAAATGTTAAGCATACCCTTTACACATTCCTTCTTTAAGCTTTTTTATCATGAGGTGTTTTCACATGGTTTCTAAGGCCAACTGTTGAACCTTTAATAGCTAGCATCTACACTAAACTTCAGTGCATAGTCTACATTTGTCATTGCTTCTGCAGATATTAGACACTGTTAACACCATATTCATCACATACCTGTTCCACTGAGATGCCAGATTCAATTTTGTTTATTAGTTCAAGCTTCTGCTTAACACAGAGAACCACACATTTTCTCTTGGCACCCAGCAATGTGTGACCCTTGTGGGTTTAGTGCTTAGTTTTGATTGTAATAATTCTCTTGGCACCACTACTTGCTTTAGAAGCCATAAGTTAACTGCAATTTACTTAATATGCTAAGTCACGTAAAACACTCTGAACCCATGGAAAACGGGAGACTGAATGACGAGTGTATACGTGATTGAGCAAAGACAACAAATTATTGGAGATGGCCTATGATTCAGGGAACAATGAAAACAGACAGGTCCTGACCTATACGGGACAAACGTCAGAATCATCGGACCAAGTACTACCAAATCTGGTAGTATTTTGGACAAAGTCTGATGATGTAGAAGACAACCGGACACTCACTACAGACAAAATTCGAAATTATGACCTTTTTTAAATTTGTCCGATGATTTCAGTGTTTGTCCAGCAACTTTTTTGTCCATAATTTCCAATATCCATTAAATGGGGGTCATTAATTAGAGGATTTACTGTATTAATTAAATCATTTACCCATATGGTATCATAAATTGCATAAAAGTGAAAAACTGAAGTAACTACATTTATATACAGCAGCAGATGTATCAAGTCACATTAGCAAAACATTTAAAGGCTAAGAAAGGATCCACACACCGAAAAAGATTGGGAACCACAGCTTTAAGATATTTGTATTCAAAATTAATTATTCCTAATAGGAAGCACATTCACTAAGAAAGGGAAGGATGCAAAATTTATGTCCAAAAAGACTATTCATAATATTTAATTCACTAAATTATGAAGAGTGTATCTTTACTTTTTAATCATGTTATAGTGCAATATGGAACTCTGAAAATGTGGTTTTTATCATATTTTGTGCACGTAATGAGATAAAGTACGTTTTAAAATTTACATCCTTTCCAGCTTCTTTTTGGAATACATTAAGTTATTCACTAACAAATCTTATTGAAGATGAATCAATAAATAAATATGATTAAGAGATTTCACTGCAAGACATTGCATGCTTGTAAGCACTTTCTGAGTTACACAGTGAAATGTTAACTCCAAGTCATATACTAAGAGACGAGAATGACTGGATCTGTACACTATTGCCCTTGGAATATTGAGCCTTATCACTGTAATAACCTAATTGAGTTTGAGAGAAGTGAACTCCATCTCTTGATCCCTCATCTGTTGACCAACTAATAACACTGAGCCCTGATATATCTATATTTGAACCCACATGTGGAGTTTGCTTCCACTATCATTGCTCATGTATTACCCGACATTCACAGCACATCAAGTGTTTTCACAAGTGATGAAGGTACAGTACTTATATGTTTTGGTTTACATATCTTCACTTCAAGGCTCAGTTTACCATGATCAACAACTACCTCATAATAATGATGAACAATCTCTCTCCCAGCAAGAAAAATCTACTTCACAATAGCAAAATTACTTAGACTCTTAAATACACCTAATTATAAAAGAAACACCCATGTATGAGAAAATATGCACTGTTCAACAGCATTCCAGTAACAGAAACATAGCTACCTCTTGACTGCAGAAAATACTCCTTCTTCACTTCAGGAACTCATGAAAAATTATTTTAAGGGGGCAATAAAATTACATTACTGTATTTATAAAAAAAATTTAAATTTGGTAGCATTATGCTCAAAATAATAGAAGATAGTTGGGAGATGGCCGACTTGTTGAGAAATAAATAAATAAATAAATAAATAAATAAATAATATATATATATATATATATATAATATATATAATATATATATATATATAATATATATATATATATATATATATATATATATATATATATATATATATATATACATACATACATACAGTGGACCCCTGCTTAACGATATTTTTTCAATCCAGAAGTATGTTCAGGTGCCAGTACTGACCGAATTTGTTCCCATAAGGAATATTGTGAAGTAGATTAGTCCATTTCAGACCCCCAAACATACACGTACAAACGCACTTACATAATTGGTCGCATTCGGAGGTGATGGTTATGCGGGGGTCCACTGTATATCTATATCTATATATATATATATATATATATATATATATATATATATATATATATATATATATGCAAAACAACCACTCTGAAAGAATAGAGAAATTCCAAGCGCTTTCATGACTACTCACATTATCAAGGAACTATGAAAGTAAAGCATCCAAGGAAGCTATATAAGAGGTCTGGCCAGCACCTCACTATCAGATCCCACAACGGTTAAACATCTCGAACTAAGATTAAAACAACATAAATATAGCATTAGAACTGGACAAGATTCCAATGCTCTATTTATTCATGTAAGAGATTTTAACCATCCAATTGATTTTCAAAAAGTTGAGAAAGTAGTATCAAGCAAGTCCATGGTCGACAGGAATATAATTGAATCTTGTTTCATAAAAAGCAGTTTTGACAATAATATGAATATTTCCTTTGGTTTATATAAATTAGATCCATTTATAATTAATAGAAATTGGGAAGAATTTAATAATACACTGGACAAATAATAATTTTTAAATTTTCTTGGGTAGAATAGTTTGTGGGCGAGTTGTGCAAAGGACCTATCCAAGTTGGGTCGCCGCGCGTCACGTGTTTAACCGTTGTGGGATCTGATAGTGAGGTGCTGGCCAGACCCCTTATATAGCTTCCTTGGATGCTTCACTTTCATAGTTCCTTGATAATGTGAGTAGTCACGAAAGCGCTTGGAATTTCTCTATTCTTTCAGAGTGGTTGTTTTGCATATTTTGAAATCACCTGTTTACTGTGATCTTATTGCATATATATATATATAAATGAATATGTATGTACTCACCTAGTTTGTGTGTGTGTGTGTACTCACCTAGTTGAGGTTGCGGGGGTCGAGTCCGAGCTCCTGTGTGTACTCACCTAGTTGAGGTTGTGGGGGTCGAGTCCGAGCTCCTGGCCCCGCCTCTTCACTGATCGCTACTAGGTCACTCTCCCTGAGCCGTGAGCTTTATCATACCTGTGTGTGTGTGTGTGTGTGTGTGTGTGTGTGTGTGTGTGTGTGTGTGTGTGTGTGTGTGTGTGTGTGTGTGTGTGTACGTGTGTGTGTACGTGTGTGTGTACGTGTGTGTGTGTGTGTGTGTGTGTGTGTGTGTGTGTGTGTGTGTGTGTGTGTGTGTGTGTGTGTGTGTACGTGTGTGTGTGCATGTGTGTGTTTGTACGTGTACATGTGTACGTGTGTGTACGTGTGTATGTGTGTGTGTGTACGTGTGTGTGTGTGTGTACGTGTGTGTACGTGTGTGTGTGTAGGTGTGTGTGTACGTGTGTGTACGTGTGTGTACGTGTGTGTGTACGTGTGTGTGTACGTGTGTGTGTACGTGTGTGTGTGTGTACGTGTGTGTGTGTGTACGTGTGTGTGTGTGTACGTGTGTGTGTGTACGTGTACGTACTGTACCTATTATGGATTTCGTGAGTTCCTCCTCCAATAGCCTTGCCTGAGGCCAAGCTTTTTTGGTTCTTGTTTGGTCAACCAGCTTAGTTAATCTTGAAGACTTGTACACTTGCTCTGGTAATATTTTTGATATCTGCTGTAGCAGATTGAAGGGTCTTAAGTCCATAGATGTTGTTACAGTGAACTCATATTTTGCTTACAGCACCCTTGTTTTTCAATGGGTTTATTTTATACTTACTTCCACATCTCTCACTCCAATACATTATGGAAGTGTGTAGGTTTTGAACAAGACCTTCTTGTATCTTCCATGTACATATCATGTATCTCTCTCTCTCTCTTCTCTCATCCAGAATGCATATTCAGTAGTACTTTGAGGTATTCTCAGCAGTTTAAATGTTCTATGAGGGCAATTTTTGAGTCCTTCATTCTTTCCATATCAGTGCAGCTGAAATGTGTTACTACTGAACACAATGTTATTTTATATTGTCCACGGAAAGACTGCTTACCGAAGTGACTCATGCTTATTTTTGTAATATTGGCAAATATGAAGCACTGTCTAGTGTTTTTATTTTTGGTATGTTTGATATGTGGACAAGAAACGGTAAAGGCACTAAAATAATGCCTTGGGGTATGGAGCTTTTAACTCTGCTAAGAATTACATTTTGCTTTATTTCCTACTATTGTTTGTGTTCTGTAGTAAAAAAAATAAATATCCATTAGCTATTGTTGCAGTTATACTTAGTGAGCTGATTTTACATGCTATCACTCAGTACTATCACTCCACGATCATGTTTGTCAACTGCCTTCGCAAAATCCACGTAGACCACATCTACATTATGGTTCTCTTCTTAAGCCACCATAATTTTGTCATAATGGTTTTCTATTTGTGATAAGCATGATCTTCCCACTCAACAGCCATGTTGGTTTGGGTTATGCAGGTCACTCTTCTCATCAAGTTTGTAATTTGGCACATCACCCTTTCAAAGAATTTTATGAGTGATGTTAGTGCTATTAGACCGTAATGTTTTGCCAGTTCTCCTTTTCTGTTTCTATGGAATTAGTGTTTATGTCTCTGATTGCGGGTTCTATCCCCGCCTGTGGTATGGTTTTTTTTTTTATGCCGCATAATTTGTAGGGCAGTCAGAGGTAATAGATAAGCTTTCTGTAGCCACTCGGTTTCTTATTAGTAGACTGCTGAACATTGCTTCATACTGGTCTCCTAAGATTTCACTAATTTCTCTTCAGTTATCAGTATATGAGCTTCTTGCAATTAATGGGCCAATTCCACAGGTGTTTCTTGACTTTTGATTTTATATGTTTAGAAATATTTTTTTTTTTTTTTTTGCAATTCTCAGGACAGCTTTTTGCTCCATTAGTCTCTTTTCTGTCTAGTATAAATGTTTAAGTTTCTGCTCTATATCAGTAATCTCTTGGTTTAGATCATCTCTCCTTTGTTCTGACATCATTTAGGCAATTTATTCACATTCTGTACCTTCTACATCCTGTTTCTTTACTGGATCTCCTAGTAGGCTTTTTTAGTGAATCACATTACATAGACTCTGTATGCTTCCATACACTGGTATGGGTTTTATAGCACAGTACACAGAATTATTTCCCAGGAAATGCTTGATAGTACGTACTTTGTTTTTTTTTTGCTTCAGTCAGTTTTCAGATAACTGAAGTAAAATTTACTGAATATTCCTTCTCACAGACTGTTGCTGAAGTTTTTCATGCCTAAATTTATACTTGGTTTTACTTGTTCAAATAAATTTTTCAGAATCCCGTTAGCTCTCTGATCTGTGTCTGTTGGGCTAACACATTTTTAGGGACTATTTTTAGTATGACTCTCTACCATCTTCTATTACACATTTGGGAGGTTGAAATTTCTGAAGATATTTCAAACAAGACTCTCAATATTTTCAAGGTAACTATCTACTTTTCTTATATATTCTATGAATTCTTTTGCTGTTGCTGGTAATGGTGTACTGTATATACGTACAAGGATTTACCAAGATTCTTGTTTTCCACTTTAATACCTAGAACTTCTATTATATCATTTGATGAATTCAATAGTTTTGCACAACAATGAGTACTACTCCCTGGGACTTATTTATTCTCTCATGTCTATAAACATTGTAATTTTTGAGGTATATGGTACAGTCATGTATAAGGGAGAGAGGGAGGGAGGTTAAGAGGGTGTATAAATCTAGGATGAAAGACGGGCTTTCAAAACTCACTAGGCATATAAGAGTTTGTTACATCTGCCTTAATGCAGACATGTGATCTTTGATGTGCTGTTGAAGTGTAACCATAGAAATATCTACAATACCAGGGATAGTGAATGGAGAAAAGTGACTTAATGGATGTGCTGTTGGAGTGTATAGTAACTTTTATGAAAGAATACAGGGTAAATCAGTTAGCCAGACTCGAGTCCTGGAGGTGGAAAGGGCAGTGCCTGCACTCTGAAAGACAAGTAGGGATGTTGCAATCCGAGGGTAATCTGAGTGTGATGTTGGCACATTTCTGGAAAGACAGCAATTGACTGAATGATAATAAATGTGTTTTCTTCTTGGGGTCACCATGCCTTGGGGAAAAATGGCTGTTGAATTAAAAAAAAAAAATGGATTCAGGAAAGCTGGTAAGCCAGACATGAGTTTGAGATAGGAAGTTCAGTGCACACAATTTTAGAGTCAGTTAACATGTTGCAGTTCAGTGGGTCAACATTCGACAATAATATTTATACTCTCCTAGAAAGGCAGCTAGGGAGTAAGTTAACATGAACGTATTTTCAAATTTTGAGTTTATACCTTCATGAGAAATGGCTAATGGTAAAAAAAAAAAAACTGTAATCTATTGATTCGTGAAATCATAAAAATACCAACTGGTAGTATACTGTCATTGTCTCCACCAAGGCATTTGTAAACAACATTCAGAATGAATGGGGTTTGAACCCATGGCAAACTGGTCCTGAAACTAGGGAACCAGAGTTCATTAGCCTGCTAGTTTCAGGTCTGGCTTACCATAGGTGTGAACTCCATCTGTTCCACAAGTTACCTTGTATTTCTTTTAACTTTGACAGATTCAGTTTATTTGGCTAATAGCCTTTGTGAAAAATAAGACTGACAATTCCAACAGGCAAGCAAATGGTCGCAGCAAGTAAACACCAAGCACTCACCGAGTAAACACTCAAATGGTCAACTTTCTGGTTGTCAAGGCAAAGCTACTTTGCTTATAAGCCACTGATCAAATAAATAACTAGCCTTGAATACTGCTGAGATTCTTGCAAAACAAAGAAATGAATGAAAGAAGTAAATAAATATGGACGTAAAGAGCTATTTATTTTGAGCTTTCACTAATTAGTTGAAGACTAACAAAAGCAAATTTTCATTAAAAACTTTATCAATAATTCCTAAGTACTGTATGCGGGTGTATCTTCAATTCTGCATTCGAGAATCTGACTATGTAAAACAATTTGAGAATTACTGTACTCCTTTTTCAGTATTTTTTTCAGCGCCTTGAGTAATATTACATCGGTAAATATTCATGTTGATATATAAAATTTTCTCCCACAAATACATAAATCTGAAATATATATCAATACACATATACATATGCAACATCTAAGAATATTTAAGATGCTGTTATTAGACACCTGACAGTCCAAGTACAATACAAACTGAAATTGACAAAAATGAAAGAAAATGTGAGCACAAAATAATACTGTAAAGTAATATTTTTTCAAGGAGGGAACTGATGTTTAAATTTACAGGAAACTAAATTAAATACCTAAAGTAATGTACATACATTATATGGTTTACTATGCCAATCACTATGGAATATGTAATGATAATCTGGATAATGATATTGCACTTTCCATATAATTATTACATATTTACACCAGTAACAAAAATCAGTAAAACAAATCAGTGGATGATAATTCCACTTAGGTTCAACAATACAGTAATAGACATTTAAAAAAAAAAATGGCTCTGCATATATATATCAATAATAATGAGCACAATAACAAAATTCCTGCAACTACATCTTAGGCCATTAAATCTATAGTATATAAAAAGTCACTCATTATATTTCTCACAAAAGCATATTATACCATGGGCCTCTTTGTAGTTTTTTCTTTCATAAACAACAATACATGTTACTCATACTGCTGTACAAAATCACAGAGAACATAATGATGCATGTGTGTTAACCCTGTGTTAAACTACACTGGCACTATTTAGGTGTCAGAATAAGTTAAATCAAACCCAGGAGATAATACACATGATAATATTCATGGGAAAAGGTAACCTACTGACTGACTGACTGTTTATCACATGAAGGCCATATTGTACTTATCATATGCACTTTTCCTTCCTAATTTGGCATTAAATTGTCCTAGTAAAAAATAAAAAGTGCAGTACAATAAAAGTACACAATGGCAACTCTCACACCTGAATCATTTACATAGACACTTTCATTAAAGCTTGTGTGGATAAACAAGACCATTATATATAAAAGGGCACCGATACTCTACAATGCTTCGCTCCAAATCAAACCTCACCGACTATTTGAAAATATAACTTACAAGGATGCTTTCACCATTTAATCACTGCCCAGAAGTGACTGTAATCTATTCTACTTCCTTGGTACAAGAAGAAGTTGCCATACAGTAAAAGTCAGATATTTGCTTTGACTGTATAAAATGCTGCTGTATGGTCTCAATTTACACTCTATGGATATTTGGATTTTAATATACAATATCCAACTATCTCAAAAAACTAAATTTCCCATCCTTTTATTTGCAGTAGAGAGAACCTTAAAATCTCAATTATGTAGCATACATGGTCACTGTGGATAGTATTAAAAAAATGAAATAGCATACCTTCCATCTCTCTACACAAAAATGTATTTTGCATTACATTAGTACATATATATTAAAAAACTTAAATAATCCTATTTAGTGTTAGATAATAAACAGCATTTAAGACTGCACAACAACCAGTTCTTCTATAAGTGTACAAAACTTGTTATTCATTAAAACTACAATCAGCAAATTTGTCTCGTGGTAAAGGTCGTACCACACTTTCCTTTTGTAAGACTTCAGGTATTTACTCAATAAGTTATATATAAAGCAAGTAACCTTCAAACTAATAACCTTTATTCTACCTCAAAGGTTTAATGATCACATTTACTCAAGAATACCTAAGGCATCAGCTCATATACGAGAAGTTCAATTTAGATTATATAATAATGATGTATAGTTAGAAAATTCATTGATTGTTTGTGCTTCACTGCCTAATTTAGTCATTAATGGATATCAATGCTTTGTATCATGAATTTTTTAATTATAGTAATTATCACAATAATAAACTGTCATTAATTTAATGCCAAATTGCTTTCAGAGTAGAAATTCTTTTACTTTCCATTCCACAATAGGGTTTTACAATAATAATAAACAACAATAACCATTTCATTTTATCAGAGTAAAGTTCACAATTAAATGTAACCATATCAACCAGCACTGTTTACTTTTCATTACAACAACAATCAAAATAATCTAAAATATATCAACACTTACTGCCCTATTGTAGGTTAATGTTTATGATTACCAAACATTAACTTTCACTGCCCTCTTTTAATGTTCCTGATTAATGTAATTAACACAGCAAATTCCTCCTTCAAAGTAAACACACCACTGTAACTTGTGTAAGTATTAACTACTTTGCTTGCTTCTTCAAAGTAAACACATTATCATGACTTATGAAAGTATTAACTACTTTGCTTGCTTGTGCTTTGTAAGCTTAATTGTGAGATGAGCCAAAACACAATGCGGGCAGGCCATCTCTGGCTGGTCACTGTGATACTGGTCCAGGAGAACCTTAGCTGTGTTGCCCAGTAAGCCAGGAACAGTCATCACCGATGTCTCCATTTGGGGAAGTACTCGTGTCTGTTATTGATAAACAAAATATATGGTTTCACACTTTACATATAACAAATTAAAGCTTGAATAAAATTTTGTTTTAATTTTAATTTTATATAGTGCAAACAGTTTCACTTTTATTCAAGTCATGTCACTCAACAATAGGCTAGGTAAGATTTACTGAAACATACAGTATTACTATATACAAGGTAGAAGACAACCACTCTCTTCAGATTATTAAGATGTGACCCACAACAGTCAACTAACCTCAAGGTGCAATATCTACTTACAGCTAATTAACCCTTTCAGGGTTTCGGCCGTACTAGTACGGCTTATGCACCAGGGTTTTTGACGTACTAGTATGCCTAAATTCTAGCGGCTTCAAATCTAGTGAGAGAAAACGGCAGGCCTACATATGAAAGAATGGGTCTATGTGGTCAGTGTGCGCGGTATAAAAAAAATCCTGCAGCACACAGTGCGTAATGAGAAAAAAAAAACTCTGACCGCGTTTTTGGATTAAAACAGCGACTTTGCACTGTATTTTCGTATGGTATTTATTGTTGTATTCTAGTTTTCCTGGTCTCATTTTATAGAATGGAAGACATATTATAGAAATTGAGATGATTTTGACTGATTTTACAAAGAAAACTACCTTGAAATTGCGCTCAAAGTAGCAGAAATGTTCGACTTTTACCAAAGTTCAAAAGTAAACAAAGCATGCTATGCGTCCAATACACGTCAACTGGTGAGTCTAATATTCTTTCACAAGAGTGCTGATAATATTTATACCATTTCTACACCAATGCAGTAGTCTGCATAACAATAAATCTTCTATTTTTTTGCAAGAATAAAAATTCAAAGTGGAAAGCAAAAGAGTGTAAGAGGGGCATGGGGACGTGACTAATGAACAGAGGAAATGTTATTTTAGTGCCAGGAATGTCTTTCTTGTTTATTTTGGACCCTATTCGGAAATTGGCATCTTTTGAAATTTGTGTGAAATTGGCAAAATTGCTAAATTCTGACCACTTTATTGGATAGTTGAAATCAGTAATTGGGTGGTTTCTTGTACTCATTCGATAGAAAAAATAGAGTTCTAGTGAAATAGTTATGATTTCTGTCGACAAGTACACTGGAATTGGCCGAAAATAGAGCTCAAAGTGGGCAAAATCGCCAATGCGTAAACATCGTCGAGACCGCTAGCTTCGCGAGAGCATAATTCCATAAGTTTTCCATCAAATTTCACACTTTTGGTGTCATTATGATCGGGAAAAAGATTCTCTATCTTTTCATAAGAACAATAATTTTTTTTTTTTTTGAAATTTGGAGGACCCTGAGAACAAGTTTCTGAGAGGGCCTGTCGACCCTGAAAGGGTTAAACAGAGGCAATAAGTGTAAGGAAACTTGCCCATATGTCTTGCCTTACTCAGGATTTGAGCCCAGGTCCTTCAGGATGTGAGCCAATGCTGTACCATTAAGTTACAAGTAACAGATTTGTATTGGAAGATTTGTTCATGCCATTTACAATACAGTACAATTGTTGTTGCTGCTATTGCCTCTTCTATGGCAACTGTACTACTGCTGCTACTACTACAGTGGAACCTCAAATATCGAACTTAATCCGTTCCAGGAGTTAGTTCTAAATTCGAAAAGTCTGAAAAGCAAAGCAATATTTCCCACAAGAAATAATGGAAATGCAGTTAATCTGTTCCAGAAACCCAAAAATATTCACAAAAAAATACATTTTATAGATTCACCTCCACCTCCTCCATACTCTCTCCCTCCAATCTGATATTCAATCTTTCATCACCTAATCTTTTTATCCTCATAACCTTACTCTTTCCTGTGTTCACCTTTAATTTTCTTCTTTTGCACACCCTACCAAATTCATCCACCAAGAGAAGTTGCAGAGATTGGTGGATGAATTTGGTAGGGTGTGCAAAAGAAGAAAATTAAAGGTGAATACAGGAAAGAGTAAGGTTATGAGGATAACAAAAAGATTAGGTGATGAAAGATTGAATATCAGATTGGAGGGAGAGAGTATGGAGGAGGTGAATGTATTCAGATATTAGGGAGTGGACGTGTCAGCGGATGGGTCTATGAAAGATGAGGTGAATCATAGAATTGATGAGGGGAAAAGAGTGAGTGGTGCACTTAGGAGTCTGTGGAGACAAAGAACTTTGTCCTTGGAGGCAAAGAGGGGAATGTATGAGAGTATAGTTTTACCAACGCTCCTATATGGGTGTGAAGCATGGGTGATGAATGTTGCAGCGAGGAGAAGCCTGGAGGCAGTGGAGATGTCATGTCTGAGGGCAATGTGTGGTGTGAATATAATGCAGAGAATTCGTAGTTTGGAAGTTAGGAGGAGGTGCGGGATTACCAAAACTGTTGTCCAGAGGGCTGAGGAAGTGTTGTTGAGGTGGTTCGGACATGTAGAGAGAATGGAGCGAAACAGAGTGACTTCAAGAGTGTATCAGTCTGTAGTGGAAGGAAGGCGGGGTAGGGGTCGGCCTAGGAAAGGTTGGAGGGAGGGGGTAAAGGTGGTTTTGTGTGCGAGGGGCTTGGACTTCCAGCAGGCATGTGTGAGCGTGTTTGATAGGAGTGAATGGAGACAAATGGTTTTTAATACTTGACATGCTGTTGGAGTGTGAGCAAAGTAACATTTATGAAGGGGTTCAGGGAAACCGGCAGGCCGGACTTGAGTCCTGGAGATGGGAAGTACAGTGCCTGCACTCTGAAGGAGGGGTGTTAATGTTGCAGTTTAAAAACTGTAGTGTAAAGCACCCTTCTGGCAAGACAGTGATGGAGTGAATGATGGTGAAAGTTTTTCTTTTTCAGGCCACCCTGCCTTGGTGGGAATCGGCCAGTGTGATAATAAAAAAAAAATAATAAAAATAATTATAGTTTTACATAAACACAACAAATATAGTGTTCAATTATGTATTAATAAATTTAAATAAACATATAAAATAACATTTTACTTACCTTTACTGAAGATTGGTGATGGCATCTGGAAGATAAGGAGGAGAGAGGGAGTTGGAGTTAGTGTTTAGAAGGAGAATCCCCCTCCATGAGGACTTCAGGTATCAAAGCCCTCTCTGGGGTTACTTCCCTTCTCTGTCTTTTAATGCCACTAGGACCAGCTTGAGTCACTGGACCCCTGTCTCACAAAATAACTGTCCACAGTCCTCTGTTTCTGGTGCCTCTTTAAGATTTCCCTAAAATGGGACATGGTTCTGTCACTGAACTTGTTGCAAAGATGACTTGTTTCAGCTTGGTCAGGGTGGTACTTCTCCACAAACATTTGGACATCATTCCACTTGGACATCATTCTACCTCTGTATTATTTCCTTCTTCACATCTATGGTATTTCTCACTTTCTTTACCACAGGGGTATTACTAGCAAGTTTCTTTGGGCCCATTGTAGCTTATTTCACAGTCCCACACGCACTAAACGCAATGAAATAATCATAAAATGTTTGAATGAGAGCACAGGTTAGTGTTCACTCAAGCATCAACAAAACCAGACTGGCTCACGGCGTCTGTGCGGGGACGCGGGCAGAGCAGGCTGCCGGACAGGTCCAGTACCCAGCGAGTTTGATAATAGGGACAAAGTTGCTTTGAAAAAAGGGTTCTATTTTCGAAGTTCGATAAGTGATACGTTCGAAATTTGAGGTTCCACTGTATATTGTTATGCCGCCAACACTGCTGTTGCTGCTGCTGCTGCTGCTACTACTACTACTATTAATACAACTGCATTCCACATAGTCCTATGACTAACTTTAGGGCCTGACTTAACATCCCAAGCCTTAGCCTAATCTTAGCCTGACCAAGAGTGCATGGAACTTCACTGAAGTTATATCTACACCCTATATTCACCATTACCAAAGTTTGTCAGACTCTTTTCTTTCTTTCTTTCAATGCACCAGCCGTATCCCACTGAAGTAGGGTGGCCCAAAAAGAAAAAGAAAAGTTTCTCTTCATAAATTTAGTAATGTCTACAGGAGAAGGGGTTACTAGCCCCTTGCCCCTGGCATTTTAGTCGCCTCTTACAACACGCATGGCTTACGGAGGAAGAAGTCTGTCCCACTTCCTCATGGAGATATGAGGAAATAAACAAGAACAAGAACCAGTAAGAAAAAAAGAAAACCCAGAGGGGTGTGTGTGTATATATATACATGCTTGTACATGAATTTGTAGTGTGACCTAAGTGTAAGTAGAAGTAGCAAGATGTATCTGAAATCTTGCATGATTATGAGAGAAAAAAAGACACAAGCACTCCTACCATCATGTAAAACAATTACAGGCTTCCATTTTACACTAATCAATACTGTATAGTCATTATGACCAAGTTAGCATAAGAAGAAGTTGCATCTGCTATTTGAATGTATATTTGTGAACCATCTAGGTAGTAGGTTGGTGGACAGCAGCTGCCCAGGGAGGTACTACCATCCTGCCAAGTGAGTGTAGAACGGAAGCCTGTAATTGTTTTACATGGTAAGATCTCTGGTGTCTTTTTTCTGTCTCATAAATATGCAAGATTTCAGGTATGTCTTGCTACTTCTACTTACATTTAGGTCACATTACACATGCATATACAATCATATATATATATATATATATATTATATATATACCCTTCTGGGTTTTCTTATATTTTCTTACTAGGTCTTGTTCCCATTTATTTCCTCTTATCTCCATGGGGAAGTGGAACAGAATTATTCCTCAGTAAGTTATGCGTGTCATAAGAGGCGACTAACATGCCAGGAGCAAGGGGGTAATAACCCCTTCTCCTGTATACATTACTAGTTAAAAAGAGAAACTTTTGTTTTTCTTCTTAGGCCTCCATGCCTCAGTGGGATAGATCTAGTTTGAAGGAGGGAAAAAAAATTAAGAACCAGCTTGATTTTTATATAAAGTCAATGAAAGCAGAGCTGTATTGTACTATGGAGACTAGTTTAAACTATCTTATAAATTAATACTGTCCACACAATGAAGATTTAAGTTCAGGACCACTAAACTTCAAGTTTAATAAAATAAACAAGCCACTATTACACAATAAATTGTTAAAAAAAAAAAAAAAAAAAAAAAAAAAAAAAAAAAAAAAAAAAAACTAAGGCTAGATTTGACTTCATCACACTGTTAGTTCTTGCATTTTCATTTAACATGCAAAATATCAAGCACTAAAGATAAGCACTATTAGACACATGTAGACCAAATATATTAAACAAAAAATATGCACTCTATATCAGAAAAAATTAATGTGAAGAGCAAGAGAAAATTAAAAAAAGAGAGGATATACAGCCCATGCTTTCCTTAACCAAATTTTTTTCTTCAACACGTTGGCTGTCTCCCACCGAGGCAGGGTAACCAAAATATTCTACATAAATTTTTGCACCGCTATTGTGTGTGTTTAAGTTTTAAGGTTAAAACAATTTATAGGAAAAAATTATTTATCCAGTGTGAAAAATCTGAAGTATTTATTAATCTATACATTAATAAATTTGACTGAAAAAATATTTATAATATATGTAGTACCTTGAAATCTTTCTGAGTGAAATGATGTCCACAAGTAAATAAGACACAATCTTTTTCATGCTCTTTGGGGACCTTGCCTCCACCTTTTGGTTTGTGGCTACCACTAGATATAGAGCCTCTTGTTTCTGCCTTTTTACCATGGGCACTGTCATCTTTTTGAAGCTTGGCTATATCTTCCTGTGTCAAGTTAATGCTGTCTGAACCCTTTTTTGTTAGTACATCTAGGGCCATGTCCAACTGACTGGTCTCTTCATTGAATGCAGAGGTGGACTTGCTGCCCTGGCTGGGCTCAGCACCAGGCTGAATACCACTGATGAGAGCCAAAGCATCCACATATTCCCCTCCAGCACCTCCTGTTACAAAAAATAATAAAGCAAATAATATGTAATAATCCTTTCTGTATTTCTACTGGATGGTGTTCATGGAACTACTACCTTAAAATATTTAGCTGCTTAACTTGCTTCAGTCACATGCACCCTGACAAGATAATTCCTGCCTCCCATCTGGTCTAGGGGTTTTCCTATGATGGTCTCTACACCAGAATGAGTGGTGCCTTTAAAGGATACTAAATAACAGGCACATTTCTCTATACTGTTCTGCAAAACAAACTATAAGAGATAATGAAAATGGCAACAATAGGCTTTTATTCATAAAACTAATTTAGTGTCCCCCTACTCTTAACAAAATTATAGAGCAGGTGAAACTCAAATCCATGACAGTCAAGCCCTAAACTCACAGACCACTATCATTGTTGGCACACGAATGCAGACGAGATATTCAGTCTTATAAGTATGGAATGCTTATCAACATATGTAACACTAACACTATCACTCCTAATGACATTTGCTCTATACTTGTTTACTGGATATCTTGTCTGCATTTGTGTATCAATAATAAGGTGGATAAATTAGCCATTTCCTATGAATAAAAGCCTTTATATACTATTTTTTTTTTTATAATTTATCCCCTTAGTTACAGGACATACTACAGTATTATAAATATGGCTCATAGTGATCCAACAATTAATGTAGGCAAGTGCTGGAAGAACTACACAACTGATGACTACATTGCAATTATCAAAGAGGCAATTGACAAAATGAAGGAGTTGACCAATGAAGCTGTGGTCAAAGGCGATTAATTCTCCTGAGGGGTTTTCTAATGCTGCTAATGAGTACTGGTAGCTTGAAAAAAGGTTTTGAAGATATATAGTGGAGGCAAATGTAGAGCAACTGTTAGAAATACAAGACAAAGAGCTGACAAATAAGGAAATGGATGAGATGCAGAGATCAAGGAAGATGAAAAACATAGTGAAGATGAGAATATGGTTCTAAAACTAACAGAATAATTCTAAATTTGATGTCAAAGTACAGTTGACCCCCGATTAACGATATTTTTTCATTCCAGAAGTATGTTCAGGTGCCAGTACTGACCGAATTTGTTCCCATAAGGAATATTGTGAAGTAGATTAGTCCATTTCAGACCCCCAAACATACACGTACAAACGCACTTATATAAATACACTTACATAATTGGTCACATTAGGAGGTGATCGTTAAGCGGGGGTCCACTGTATAGGATAAATTATTACATTCATGGAGAAGAGCTAAACCCATAAAGGTTATACAGTGCCTGAGAAACAGTGGTAATCAAATTTGATCTGAGGAAGGCAAGGGTAGCTCAAATTCATTAAATCAAGAGCCCTCCACCAGCATCAAGGCTTTTAATTTAAAGGGAGTGTAAAGTACAGTTCTAGTAACATGAGGGACTCTTATGCTAGACACCAAGGTTGAACTCCTTCAGTACTTTTTCATTTATAACTGGAAAGACAAACAGAGAGGCTGCAAATATTGTATACAAATAAGTTAGCAAGGTCAATGAATATTAGCACTTACCAGCCTGGAGATGACTGATAACAGAGGTACACAAATTGAGGCAAAACTTAGTTGATAATTGACTGAGCACCTTCATGGCTGGGTCACTGTTCGGGTCATCAGTGGCTTCACTATCATTCGGTGCACCATCACTGTAGAAAAAAATGTGTCATGCTACCGTGCATGCTTGAGGCTGATATAATATAGGGACTAACATGAATATTAACACTGCAACATGTTTGAGAGCTTTTGTGTAAAACAATGTAATACTGTTTAACTCAATGTCATCTCTCACTAAGGTAGGGTGACCCAAAGAAGAAAACACATTCTTCTTATTCTTTCAACTAACCGGCCATATTCCACTGAAGCAGGGTGGCCCAAAAAGAAAAATGAAAGTGAGAAACTTTCATTTTTTTTCACTATCTTTATTCAATCACCATCTTTCAAGAAGTGTGTTCACTTCACGATCAGATTACAACATTTGTTTTTATATACTGTACTAAGCAGTACTAACAAGGAACTACATTTAATATCTACCAGTGTTCTTGACTCACGAAATCGTAACAACACGATTGCAAACAAACCATACCACGGGCGGGGATAGAACCAGTGATCAGAGTCATAAAACTCCAGACCGACACGCTAGCCACTGGGCCAGCTGGCTACAACAAGACTCGTCCAACTAGGTATATTTATACACCATAGGAAGGTTAGCATAGGCACCACTGTGACTGCAAATGCCTGTTTTTACAGACGAATCTCCTGCCAGCATGGCCCTGACTAACTAGCTCTAGCTCAAGTCCCCTCAAAGCTGTTATCATGACTCACGAAACTGTAATGACACAGTTACAAACAAACCATACCACGGGCGGGGATAGAATCCGTGATCAACGAGTCATAAAACTCTGATGACGGCTTTGAGGGAACTCGAGCTAGAGCTAGTCACAGTGGTGCCTATGCTAACCTTCCTATGGTGTATAAATACATCTAGTTGGACCAATCTTGTAGCCAGCTGGCCCAGTGGCTAGCACGTCGGTCTGGAGTTTTATGACTCAGATCGCGAGTTCTATCCCCGCTCGTGGTATGGTTTACCAGTGTTCTGTTAGAGTGCATTTTTATGACAAAACACAATCACCATTGCACCTTCATAAATGCTGATGACATTTTCCCTCTAAAACAATTTTTTATTCATATACATAACCTTTAATAAGGCACATCTTCCTTAGCTTTAGCAACATGGGCACATAAAATAGTACACTTACCTGCTCCTGCATAATTAAGTACCCAGAGAAATACAGAACTTTTGTCCTGCTGTACAATTTAACATTCTTCCTGACAAGAATAAAAAGGGCTAATCTGTTCTTTTATCTTTTTCTTCATTCTCCTAAATCCAAATCTGGATATAATATTTATCATGTTACCTTCAACATGTCATTCCCATTAGGATCACTCCATCTTTTAGTTCTGTCCGACTGCAATATTTCAACAGTGAAAAAAAAATCTGGTCTATTGTGTAACTAGGTAGGTATTAGAATAACTTAAAAGAAAAATAGCATGAGTGGGATTATTACAATTATGAGGAAGTGCTAAGCCTGTATGGGTTATACAGCACCTGGGTAATGGGAGATAATCAAGTATGATCTCGGGAAGGGGGAGGGTGGCTCCAATTCCTTGAAACAAGATACCTTCACCAGCATCAAGGCACCATCCCCCTCCCTTTGAAGGGACAACTGGGAAATTCTTTGAAATATACAGTACTGATAATATAGGTATGCACTGAAAAGAAGCAATACACAGGTGCAGGTAATGAGAAACAAAAGCATTTAGCAACTTGGCCTGGCCTATTTCATCACATACAATACTTCAAAATGAATACTTCCATCAGTTTCAAGTAAATCACAAACAATAGCCAATTAGTTAAGGTAGGACTAGTATCTCATAAAAGACTGCATGATTAGGGTCAATAACAAACTAAAATATGTAGGCAGTATACTGACCCACCAGCTGTTGTTTCAGGAGGCAGAAATGTAAACATAAATGCAAATTTTGTTGTGCTTTATTTGGTGCAGAACTCCCATAGACAAAATTCCAAATGGATGGGTTTACTACTGCTCATGAGTGTACATACAAGAGTTTTTTAAATTAATCATTTAGTACCCTATTTAGTAAATTACAACTTGAAAACAAGCTAAATTTTCCATTCTCCAATTTAAGAATCATTCCAGGTTTGCAAGGCATTAAATGCAACAAACAAGAATTAAAGCATTAACATTGCAAGTTGAAATTGTTAATTTTAATTCATGCTTGCCGAGCATCGCCACTGACCCAAAGAGTAGTAGTGCCAAAGGGTAGACAGTGCGGGGAAGGTGCATGAGCAAGAGGTCTTCCAACTGTGCCAATGGGAGGGCGTGCGACAACCAAAGAGAGATACCCTCCTGGAGAACGTGCCTCATGCCTGTCTGCGACTCTTCTGTCTGTAGTCTCAAGTAGTGATCTATTATCCGCACTGCTTCAGCAACCAAGCTATTTATGTGAGGAGAGATACAGGTAACTAGTTATTTTATGGGAACATTAGGGAATATTATTAAAACTACCTATGATGAAGTGAAAACAGTATAATAAATATAACAAATCTAAGCAAAAACTGCAACTGAGAAGAAAACAATTTTCTCTAAAATATACATCATAGGCAAGTGACTGTCTTCTGACTCAGAAACTTTCTACAGTTACAGCTACATCAATACAGTAGTCTCTCTTATCCAGAAACCAGATACAGTATGTAGAAGTTTTAGGTGCCAGTACTCAAAACTTGGAATTTTCAATCTTTCCACTATTTGTAGGTAATTACATAATGTTGCCATGAGATGGGATTAGTTTTATGTTATGCCATGATGTTTCAGTTAACTGCCAATACACAATGATTGTGTAAACATTATCCCTGAATATTTTACTACTTGATATGTCATATCCTGCCTGTAGGCAGGCGATGGCTATGAAAGCTATGACAATATTTTTTCATTTTTTTTTCCACATTTTGACTTTGTTTTGTTCTTTGATTTAACTACTTTTTTAACACAATGGCTGTCTCCTGCCAAGATTGGGTATCTCAGAGAAGAAAACACATTCACTAAATTGGTGTCTTTCCAGAAGTGTGCTGACATCACAATCAGATTATCCCTCTGACTACAACATCCCCATCCCTCCTCCAGAGTGCAGGCACAACCCTTCCCACCTCCTCCATTCACTTCTAACACCCACGCAAGCATGCTAGATGCTCAAGCTCCTGAAACTTAACGCCTTTGGTACTCCCTTCTTCCATCCATTCCTGGGATGATCCCTTCCCCATCTACCTTCCACCAAGGTTTAAACATCATTATCATCTTATTCCAATCCATCCTCTCTGCATGCTCTAACTATACCTAAAGAACCCCTCCTCAGCTCTCTGAATTATACCCTTGGTCACCCCAATTTTTTTTTTTAACAAACCAGCCATATCCTGCCAAAGCAGGGTGACCCAAAAAGAAAAACACAAGTCTTTCTTTCTACATTTAGGAATTTATACAGGAGAAGGGGTTACTAGTCCCTTGCTCCTGGCATTTTAGTCACCTCTTACAACGCACATGGCTTATAGAAGAAGAATTCTTTTCCATTTCCCCACGATGTGTCTTAATTTCTACACTCCAAATTCTCTTCATCATAATCATATCACACATTGCTCTCAGAAATGACATCTCCATTACCTCTAGCCTCCTATTTGCTGCAGCTTTCAAAGCCCATGCTTAACATTCATATAAAAATGTTGGTATTGCTATACTCTGGCACATTCCCCTTTTTGACTTCACAGATAAACTTCTTTATTACCAAAAATACTTCAAGATATCACTCACCTTTATCCCCTCATCTATTCATTGGTCACCTTATATTATTACTACATTGAAATGCTATAAAATATTGCAGACTGTATGCTGCGAGTCTCAGTATTCTGGAAAATGAGCATGCTTTTTCATCACTGATTTTACTGTAATAGTGTTGCAACTGGAATGACAAAAAGGAACTTTATAAACAAACTAGAAAGATCTGGGTATTAAATAAACTCATTTCTTTTACCAACCTTTTCTCTGGAGGAGAACTGTTTTGTTTATTTTGACTAGAATGACCTTCATCCTTTATATCCTTTTCTAGTGAAGTTTCTTTGGCACCATCATTTGCTTCTTGTACTTGATCACTCTCTCTCTTATAGAGCTCATTACTCTGTGTCAAGAGGGCACAAAGGTGGTGGTGCATTGCTTGACTATACTGTCTCTCCAAGGTGTAGAGTGTAGCCAGGGCCTGGTGAGCTTCTGCTTCTTGCAGCTATAAAAATAATAAAGCAGCAAATCATTTAAACTTTTTAAAATTAATGCCAGTCATTAAGGATTCTGTTAGGCATTAATCTTATATACAGGGAAAACCACTAATCCCATAATGGTCAGACAAACTCAGGGAATAGAAAGTAAGCAAATCTGACTCAAGGAGAGGATAGCTTCAATTTCTTAGATCAAAATTATTTTTTATTTTTACAAAAATTTTACAGACTAAGTGCTGTTATCCTACTTCAACTCATTTCAAAGCCCAGCCCTATCTAAGGTATACTACCATCCAACAGGATGCAACCCACACCATAGGCTAACACCCAGGTACCTACTTACAGCAAGGTGAACATGGGCAGCAAGTGTAAGGAAACATGACCGAGGCTTTCAGACAATTTTCCATGAAAGATAAGGGAAACAAAAGGAGGTAGAGAAACCAATGGACCATGACAGATGAACACCTCTGATGTACTAAGAATGTATGTAGGTGCAAAAAATTAACTAGATATAGGCAAAAGGGTGATACAAGGAGGCAGATACAATTAGATGTTGAGGCTTAAACCAGGTGAAATGCCTCCATGTACAAGATGAGAATAATTTTCTTTTCTTTGGGATGCAAATATAATTCAGTTGTAGCAGTAAAAAGCATGATATTACCTCTTCATTTTAAGATGATACCCTTTATAGTAAAGAAAGGTAAAGAACGGTGAAAATAACAAATAAAAGTTTTAGAAAATGCTACTGTACGGGATTTACAGTAAACCATCAATTTGATAGATTAATAGGTGGCATCTTTTATATCAGAATGTTAAAAATATAGTAAAAAAAGCTATAAAGTACTCAACTGAATACCTAAAATAATACTGTACACATAATTTACAGATATACTGCAATAAACATTGACAATAAAGGAATTAAAAGTACAATTTAACCAGTGGATTTTCCCTATAATTCTAAGTCTGTTATATCGAGGGTATATAGTACAATTTATTTTTGTGGCTGTTCAAAGAAAACTTACAATATTTGTGATGTTTTTGACATTATAACTGCTGTGGAGAAAAGTCAATGCAGTGTGTAAGGTGCAGTCACCATAAACTCCATCATCCTCATCATCCCCTCTGTTTGCTCCTTTTTCATCCATAGGGGGGTCTATCATATCCAGCCGAATTTGACTTAACCACCAGTGAGCTCCAGCTTTCGGCTATGGAATGAAAAAGGATTAAAATTATACATTACATATACAATTTAACCACTTGCTAATTAATTACACTCCAAGGGCTTTTGTGATCTCTCAATCATATTCTCAGTAATAGTTACTACCCTATGGAAAGTGATTGAGAAATCACAAAAAGTGCCTGAAATTTATTTCAGTTTCAAAGAGGTTAGTGTATATTATTATATCATTAGTTTGATGTGATCTTATCCTATGTATTACATATGGCTGCACAGTTATAAGCTTGAGAAGTAAACTCATACTTTAAGGTCAGCTTTTTTTTTTTTAACACAATGGCTGTCTCCCAACGAGGCAGGGTGACCCAAAAAATTCATTCTAATGAGGACATTAGAGCACTCCAGGATGATTTGAACAGACTGATGCAGTGGTCGGAGAAGTGGCAGATGCAGTTTAATATAGACAAATGCAAAGTTCTAAATGTTGGACAGGAAAATAACCATGCCACATATAAACTAAATAATGTAGCTCTTAATAATATGGATTGCAAAAAGGATTTAGGAGTTCTGGTTAGCAGTAATCTGAAACCAAGACAATAGTGCATAAGTGTTCGCAATAAAGCTAACAGAATCCTTGGCTTCACAGCAAGAAGTATAAATAATAGAAGTCATCAGGTTGTTCTTCAACTCTATATATCTTTGGTTAGGCCTCATTTAGATTGTGCTGCACAGTTCTGGTTACCATATTACAGAATGGATATAATTGCACTGGAAAACGTACAAAGGAGGATGACAAAGTTGATTCCATGTATCAGAAATCTTCCCTATGAGGACAGGCTGAGGGCCCTGAATCTGCACTCTAGAAAGGCATAGAATTAGGGGAGAGATGACCAAGGTGTATCAATGGAAAACAGGAATTAATAAAGGGGATGTAAATAATGTGCTAAAAATATCTAACATAGACAATGGACTTGCAGCAATGGTTTTAAATTGGAAAAATTCAGATTCAGGAAGGATATAGGAAAGCATTGGTTTGATAATAGAGTTGTGGATGAGTGGAACAAACTCCCAAGTACCGTCATAGAAGCTACGATGTTGTGTAGTTTTAAAAATAGGTGGGATAAATACATGAGTGGGTGTGGGTGGGTGTGAGCTGAACCCAACTAGCTTGTGCTGCTAGGTCAGATGATGTGCCCCTCCTTTAAGTGATGTGTCTGACCTCACTAGGTCAGTGAGCTTAAGCCGGTAGGAGAACTGGACCTGCCTCGCATAGGCCAGTAGGCCTGTTGCAGTGTTTCTTCTTTCTTATGTTCTTATGTTAGTCTCTGTATTGGACTGAAGAAGCCATTGGCTGGCAAAACTTTTCCTCAATAAGGATTCTGAAAAGTTGCACAAGTGTTTCATTCTCCAGAACACAGTGAAAAAAAGCATTGTGGCCATAAATACAATTTGAGAAGTGTCAATCTGTGGCCCACAACTTTTCAAATCTCTAGTCTTGCAATAATTCCTATACAATTTAGGAGACCTTGTCTGGGACTGAGCCACAGAGACAATGATCACAAATGGGATTATTAACCCTTTCAGCCTCCATGCTGTAGATCTACGGCTTTGAAGCCAGGGTTCAAACTGTAGATCTACACCATGAGCTCAGCTCACTCAGGTAACCTGTAAGCGGTAAATTTGGGCCTAGATACGAGAGAACACGTCTATGTAGTAAGTGTGCACCACATAAAACAAATCCTACAGCATGCAGTGCATAATGAGAGAAAAAACTGTGACTGTAATTTTGGATTAAAACAGTGATTTTGCGGTGTTTTTTCGTATGTGTTTTACAGTTGTATTCATGACTTCTTGGTCTCATCTGATACAATGGAAATAGAGATGATTTTGATTGGTTTTAGTACTGAAAATGGCTTGAAACTGAGCTCAAAGTAGTGGAAATGTTAAATTTTTGCCGATTTTCAAGAGTAAACAAATGTCACCACAAGTCTAATACGCGTCAGCTGGTGGATCTAATATACTTTCACGAATGTGCTGATATTATTTATACATTTACTACAATATTGCATAGCAGTAAATCTTCTATTTTTTAGTGTGGATAAAAATTCATTATTGTAGGTAGTAGGTTGGTAGACAGAAGCCGCTCAGGGAGGTACTACCATCCTGCCAAGTGAGTATAAAACGGAATCCTATAATTGTTTTACATGATGGTAGGATTGCTGGTGTCTTTTTTTTCTGTCTCATGAACATGCAAGATTTCAGGTACATCTTGCTACTTCTACTTACACTTAGGTCACACTACACATGCATGTACAAGCATATATACACATCCCTCTGGGTTTTCTTCTATTTTCTTTCTAGTTCTTGTTGTTGTTTATTTCCTCTTATCTCCATGGGGAAGTGGAACAGAATTCTTCCTCCGTAAGCCATGTGTGTTGTAAGAGGCGACTAAAATGCCGGGAGCAAGGGGCTAGTAACCCCTTCTCCCGTATAAATTATTAAATTTAAAAAGAGAAACTTTCGTTTTTCTTTTTGGGCCACCCTGCCTTGGTGGGATACGGCCAGTTTGTTGAAAAAAAAAAAAATTTACTACAATATTGCATAGCAGTAAATCTTCTACTTTTTAGTGTGGATAAAAATTCATTATTGTAGGTAGTAGGTTGGTAGACAGCAGCCGCTCAGGGAGGTACTACCGTCCTGCCAAGTGAGTATAAAACGGAATCCTGTAATTGTTTTACATGATGGTAGGATTGCTGGTGTCTTTTTTCTGTCTCATGAACATGCAAGGTTTCAGGTAAGTCTTGCTACTTCTACTTACACTTAGGTCACACTACACATACATGTTGTACAAGCATATATATACACACCCTTCTGGGTTTTCTTCTATTTTCTTACTAGTTCTTGTTCTTGTTTATTTCCTCTTATCTCCATGGGGAAGTGGAACAGAATTCCTCCTCTGTAAGCCATGCGTGTTGTAAGAGGCGACTAAAATGCCAGGAGCAAGGGCCTAGTAACCCCTTCTCCTGTATAAATTACTAAATTTAAAAAGAGAAACTTTCATTTTTCTTTTTGAGCCACCCTGCCTTGGTGGGATACAGCCGGTTTGTTGAAAAAAAAAAAAATATTAATAGAAAATCAAAATAGAATTCATTTGTAAAGCCTGAAAATATAACTAATGAACAGAGAAAATGTTAGTTTAGTGCCAGGAATGCCCGTGCTGTTTATTCTGGACCCTATTTTGAAACTGGAACATTTTGAACTTTGTGTTAAATTGGCCAAATCACCAATTTCCGATCACTTTATTCAGTAGTTGGAACAGTTGACTGGGCAATTTCGTGTGCTCAATTGATAAAATAGAAGTAATACTAGCGAAACAGCTAAGAATTCGGTCATCTGGAATAATGTAATTGGCCTAAAATGGGAGTCAATGTCAGCAAAATTACCAATGCGTAAATGTCGCTGACGCATCAGAATTCACGAGAGCTTAATTTCATCAATTTTCCATAAAATTTCATATTTTTTGCTTTATTACCTTCAGAAAAAGATTCTCTACCATTTCATAAGAAAAAATAATTTTTTTTTTTTGAAAATTCTTGGACCCTGGCTGTCACTCTGAGATTTGGCCTCTGGATCTTCAAAAGGTTAACAGACATAACAAGTATACACTGTATACAGTGGAACCCCCAGATTAAGATGTCATCGGATTAAGTAAAAATCGGATTAAGCAACGTTTTTGTGTCAAAATATTGGCTCGGTTAACGACACGGAACTCGGTTAAAGTCATTCGTCCCGAACGTATCCGCATGCCCGGACACTCCATGTACAGCCAGAGTGCCATTGTTTACCAGGCAGTGAGGACGATTCCATGTGTACATGCGATACATTTTGTATTATTCCATTGTTTTTAGTGCTTGTAACTGCTAAATAAGCCATCATGGGCCCAAAGAAAGCTTCAAGTGCCAACCCTTTAGTAAATTATTATTATAATCAAAAAGAAGCGCTAAGCCACAAGGGCTATACAGCGCTGCAGGGTAGGGAAGGAAGCGAGGGTATTGGATGGCAGAAGGGAGGAGGGATGATCAGTAGGTTACAGAAAACAGCGGGGAAGGGGATAGTACGGGGGTAGAGGGTAGCAAGAGATTGAAGTAGAAAGGGCTGAAAGTATCAGAATTTGTGAAGTCAGTTAGTTGTTGTCAAAAAGTCAATGAGAGAGTCTGGATGAAAGGTGGGTCCATCAGCGAGAAGGGAAAATAAAGAGAGAGCAGCAGAGCGAAGACGACGACGGAGGTAAATTCTGCGTGCTCGTTGATAAAGTGGGCAGTCCAACAGAATGTGGCTGACTGATAATGGAACTTGGCAATTCTCACAGAGAGGAGCAGGGCGCCTCTCCATGAGATATCCATGAGTAAGACGAGTATGGCCAATGCGAAGACGGGAGAGAGTAGTCTCCCAACCTCGACACTGGTGATAAGAAGACGGCCAGTAACCTATACTCGGTTTAATAGATTGAAGTTTGTTGCCGAGCATAGTAGACCAATGTTGTTGCCAACGGGTGTGAAGTTGGGAAGATATTGCAGCAAAATAGTCCGTAAATGGAATACTTATTTTTTTTTTTATTATCACACCGGCCGATTCCCACCAAGGCAGGGTGGCCCGAAAAAGAAAAACTTTCACCATCATTCACTCCATCACTGTCTTGCCAGAAGGGTGCTTTACACTACAGTTTTTAAACTGCAACATTAACACCCCTCCTTCAGAGTGCAGGCACTGTACTTCCCATCTCCAGGACTCAAGTCCGGCCTGCCGGTTTCCCTGAATCCCTTCATAAATGTTACTTTGCTCACACTCCAACAGCACGTCAAGTATTAAAAACCATTTGTCTCCATTCACTCCTATCAAACACGCTCACGCATGCCTGCTGGAAGTCCAAGCCCCTCGCACACAAAACCTCCTTTACCCCCTCCCTCCAACCCTTCCTCGGCCGACCCCTACCCCGCCTTCCTTCCACTACAGATTGATACACTCTTGAAGTCATTCTGTTTCGCTCCATTCTCTCTACATGTCCGAACCACCTTAACAACCCTTCCTCAGCCCTCTGGACAACAGTTTTGGTAATCCCGCACCTCCTCCTAACTTCCAAACTACGAATTCTCTGCATTATATTCACACCACACATTGCCCTCAGACGTGACATCTCCACTGCCTCCAGCCTTCTCCTCGCTGCAACATTCATCACCCATGCTTCACACCCATATAAGAGCGTTGGTAAAACTATACTCTCATACATTCCCCTCTTTGCCTCCAAGGACAAAGTTCTTTGTCTCCACAGACTCCTAAGTGCACCACTCACTCTTTTCCCCTCATCAATTCTATGATTCACCTCATCTTTCATAGACCCATCCGCTGACACGTCCACTCCCAAATATCTGAATACATTCACCTCCTCCATACTCTCTCCCTCCAATCTGATATTCAATCTTTCATCACCTAATCTTTTTGTTATCCTCATAACCTTACTCTTTCCTGTATTCACCTTTAATTTTCTTCTTTTGCACACCCTACCAAATTCATCCACCAATCTCTGCAACTTCTCTTCAGAATCTCCCAAGAGCACAGTGTCATCAGCAAAGAGCAGCTGTGACAACTCCCACTTTGTGTGTGATTCTTTATCTTTTAACTCCACGCCTCTTGCCAAGACCCTCGCATTTACTTCTCTTACAACCCCATCTATAAATATATTAAACAACCACGGTGACATCACACATCCTTGTCTAAGGACTACTTTTACTGGGAAATAATTTCCCTCTTTCCTACATACTCTAACTTGAGCCTCACTATCCTCGTAAAAACTCTTCACTACTTTCAGTAACCTACCTCCTACACCATACACTTGCAACATCTGCCACATTGCCCCCCTATCCACCCTGTCATACGCCTTTTCCAAATCCATAAATGCCACAAAGACCTCTTTAGCCTTATCTAAATACTGTTCACTTATATGTTTCACTGTAAACACCTGGTCCACACACCCCCTACCTTTCCTAAAGCCTCCTTGTTCATCTGCTATCCTATTCTCCATCTTACCCTTAATTCTTTCAATAATAACTCTACCATACACTTTACCAGGTATACTCAGCAGACTTATCCCCCTATAATTTTTGCACTCTCTTTTATCCCCTTTGCCTTTATACAAAGGAACTATGCATGCTCTCTGCCAATCCCTAGGTACCTTACCCTCTTCCATACATTTATTAAATAATTGCACCAACCACTCCAAAACTATATCCCCACCTGCTTTTAACATTTCTATCTTTATCCCATCAATCCCGGCTGCCTTACCCCCTTTCATTTTACCTACTGCCTCACGAACTTCCCCCACACTCACAACTGGCTCTTCCTCACTCCTACAAGATGTTATTCCTCCTTGTCCTATACACGAAATCACAGCTTCCCTATCTTCATCAACATTTAACAATTCCTCAAAATATTCCCTCCATCTTCCCAATACCTCTAACTCTCCATTTAATAACTCTCCTCTCCTATTTTTAACTGACAAATCCATTTGTTCTCTAGGCTTTCTTAACTTGTTAATCTCACTCCAAAACTTTTTCTTATTTTCAACAAAATTTGTTGATAACATCTCACCCACTCTCTCATTTGCTCTCTTTTTACATTGCTTCACCACTCTCTTAACCTCTCTCTTATTGCCTGGGAAGCATTGAAAATTGGGTTGGGCAAATACAATTCTGTTAGTGGGATGGTTTGTGAATGACCTGCCTAGTATGGGCCAACAGGCCTGCTGCAGTGTTCCTGCTTTCTTATGTGCAAACATTTATGGATGAACATCACCCTGACACAGCTGTTGCAGGCTGTGCTGGCAACATCTACAATGACAATGTTATGTCTTATTTTAGGGAAATCTTAGAGATGCCAGAAACAGAGCTCCCTGGACAGATATTTAGTGCCACAGGTGTGCAGTGACTCTCAAGCTGGTCCTAGTGACATTAAAAAACAAAGAAGGAAAGTAACCCCAGAAAAGGACTTGGTACCTGAAGTCTTCATGGAAGGGGATTCCCCTTCCAAACAATAGTACACCTCCATTCTCTCCCCTCCTCCCGTCTCATCACTCATCGATAAATCTTCAATAAAGGTAAGTGTCATTTTAGTAATGTTTTACTCTGCATGTCTCATTGTTTTCTGTGTAGGGAAATGTATATTTCATGTAAAAAAATTATTTTGTTTAATACTTTTGGGTGTCTGGAACAGATTAATTGGATTTCCATTATTTCTTATGGGGAAAATTAATTTGGATTAAGTCAGATTCAGTATAAGACACTCTCTCTGGAATGGATTAATTACATTATCTCAGGGTCCACTGTACAAGAAATAGGAGCAATGGGCTAGTAATCCTTTCTTCTGTATCAATTACTACATATGTACATGTAAAAAAAAAAAAACCTTATTAGGTCATCCTGTCTCAAGAGAGAAGGCGGGTGCACTGAAAAAAAATACATACAAGAAATACTGTCAGTACATTCATAGAGATCTTCAAGTACTAGAAAAGTTCCTATAGGAGATGCCTGATGAGCCAGTTTATGATGACTATGTGGGCCTGCTACATGATCCAACAGTCACCAGCAATACCTGGTCTTAGGCTAGGCAGTGAGTAGAAAACTCTTAAAACTGTTCACAAGTATGCACCATATATATAAATGTCTTGACCTCCAAAATATAGATTATTATTGAGAACTCTTAAATAAATGCTCATATTACTATAGTGTACTTAATGGTACATTATACTAATTGGTTCGGTCAAATGATAAACAATGCATACTTTTTCCTGGTTGCCTGCTGACATTCCAAAATGATGGGAAGGTGAGCCAGGTTGAGAAGGGAGCCCATTTATTATTCTTGGAGATTCACAATTAGAGTGTACACTGTGTGGAACCTTTAATACACGCTTTGTAGTTCGCAGCATGAATACACGTCCAGCTTGTCCCTTGTCATCTTCTGAGGTGTTGTTCTTCCCCAACTGTAATACGAGGTTGCTAATTAATTTCTAATGACCCGTATGACCATAATTTGTTCAGTTCAAATTTACAATCTTCATTCTAGAACATTACTACTGTATCTAAGACATAAGAACTATGTATGCAAAAATTCTGAAACGTAATACAGTTAAACACTTTCGATTTTTTACCTCATCATATGGATGCAGAGTTGGCAAAGGATTCTTCATGCCAAAGCACCTTGCTTGGTTATTAGTTTCTGAAAAGCCAATTTAGACAAATATCTTGTTTCCTATTAGCACACTTTTGTCTGGTGCTAAGTAAACCACACTGTCCCTCCAAATTCATTATTTGTGTAGAAATACAAGAAATTATGGACATAAATTTTCCACAATATCATGACACATGCAGTGACACCAGCACACTGAAATATTTTACCCTTCCTTCAGTTCCTCAAACTTACATTGTGCAGCATGTCTTGCATTTGTTTTACAATCACTCATTTCTAATGATCACCTGAAGGTTTATTTCCAGTCTAAAGAACACTGTCCTAAAGCTTAGAGCAGTAACAGTACAAATGACTATTGTTAGTGTTCTCTAATCACGTCCAATACTGCACCACTACTGTTCACAGTCTACCCCCCCCCCTCTCTATTAACAGCTAATTTACCATATCTTCCCAACTTCTCAAACATATGCCTCCCTTTTTTGTATTATTCATACTGCTTGCTAATATATTTTTAACTTTTTTCTCTGATATTTATACCACTTCAATAAGCTTTTCTCTGCAAAAATAGTTTACTTACCCCTTAAAACTTTTATGTTTCTTTATTTCTAATTTTACCTGCTCTCATTAAAGCAATAAGCTTTGCAAGTATGAAAGTCTGGTGCCATTGACATTAACCAATCTGTATTTACCAACTGCTGCTAGAATGACAAGATTTTCATCCAACCCTCTTGCACACAATATCTTCTGTTTCCATCCATTAAACCCTCTCACTCGCAATCCCTCATTCCTCTTATATCTGCCTTGCTTATCTATATACATGCCTTTATTACATCCATTCTATTTCACAATTAATCCACAATTTAGAAAAAACTGTACATTTTGATCCATCCTTGATCATATGTAGTGTATGTAGTTCCCACATGTCCAAACATAGCACACTATAAATACTTCAATACTTCCCACATGCTCAAAACTTGCACATCACACATACCTGTGAATAATAGTTTGAGCCCCATCCCCAAAGCTGTCCCTGAGATTCAAGAGCAAGGGTAAAATCAGCTCCACAGGCTATGTCAGTAATGTAGGCTTCGTCCAGAATACGAGTGGGAGTTAAAACTTCACGCCGATTTCCAGTTCCTGTGAGCATTGGATATTTTAGTTAGCAAAGCACTGATTACTGTTTTTTTTTTACAGTATTCAGATTTTTTTTACCTCACTGGCCATTTCCTACCAAGGTAGGGTGACCCACAAAAATGAAACACATTCATTTAATTGCCAAAAGTATGCTGATATCACAATTCAGCACCATCCCCACTCCTCACCTTCTCACCTCCAGGTGAAAAGGTGAGAAGTGGGGATGGTGTTGAGTGAATCCCTTCATATATGTTAGCTCCCTCATACTCCAACAGCATGCCTATATATAGTAGTGTAAAGGCTTAGGAGCCAAAAATAGGGAAAAGAAAATAAACACTGAATTTCAACTAAAAAATTATAAACAAAAGCAAAAAATATTATTACTGGTTGAAGCATATAGATTCTTTATCACTATTTAATAAATAAGCAGCACTGTACAGAGCATGATCAAAATTCCTGGAATACCTACATGGTATTTTTTCACCTGTCAAATTCTCAAATGTATTTCAAGAAAGACCATATAACACTCCCACTCGTTTTCACCCTTCCTTCAGATTTTGCTCAATACATTATCAATTCACAACTTGGTCTAGAATGGACTCTCAGAATTGTGGACAGGTAAGGATCTCATGCTCCATTTTAAAAGCTTTTTGGGGGATGAATCAGGTCTTCTAGACTGGCATTCTACTAAGACATATAATATATATTTTATGGATACCTAAGATGACATAAAAATAGTGTGTAGCAACCAAAAGTACCAAATAACCACCAAAAAAAAAAAAAAGCTGAAGCTTGCCCCATCTCATCCACCTGATAAAGAAACCTCACTGTCAGGTAGGCCACTCTACCAAATTGAATGAATTGAGGTTTTTCTTCACATCACCCATACACTTATTGCCCGATTCATGGTGAAGGGAAAACATAGGGAGAGCAGCACCAGAAAATATTTCAATATGCAATCAACCACAAACTCAAACTATATATCCCATCAAGTTTCTCCCCTCAGTGGCCTCAGGGAGCCAACCAGCCCAGCCGACCAGGACTCAACCACAGCCACCACCACCAACATGGCCACCCATTGAGATCTGTCTCCTAGCTTCTTTCAGGGATTTATGGCATCATTTTGAGATAACCCACCCCATGCAGACTTCTTCATTGGCCAAGAACTACAAATGCAGAACATGAATGTATAACATGAAGCCCTTCAAATAGGATTTACCAAACTTGAAATTATGCTTACAAACAAGATAACAAACTTCTTAATCCTTTTGCTATCATGAGCCCTGAAATTAAGTGCTGACAGTGTCATACTTTAAAAAAAATTGTCTGAAATGGTAGATAATTTTTTTCTAAAGATAATGACACCAAAAATGCAAAATTTGATGGAAAATTTATGGAATTACACAGGTGCAAAGTTGGTAGTGTGGACACAGTTTATGCATCTGCAATTTTGCCAACATCGAGTCCTATTTTTAAGCCAATTACAATGGTCAATTTTCGTAGTACGTCCTTCATTCTATCGACTAAGCACAAAAAACTCTCTATTCAACTATCAAAATTATCCTATAATTAACACAAATTGGCAATTTGTACAATTTTAAACATAAATTAAAAAAATCAATTTAAAAACAGAATTCAAAATAAACACTGTAGACATTCCAGCCACTAAAGCAATATGTCCTCTGTTCATTAATCATGTCTCCAGGCCTTTGCTATACAACACTTGCCCTCCATTTTGAATCCATCATCATACATGTTTTAAGAGGTGACTAAAATGCTGGAAACAAGGGGCTAGTAACTTAGCAGCAACAAAGGTGCCATGTCTAACTGTGTATGAATATGTTGCACTAAATTATTTTACATTTACAGAATACGCAAAGCTTGGTGGAAGTCTGAATCTCTCTTGAATTTAGATATTTTTGTCAGATAAGAGAAAACTGTCTATTTTGTATTATTCAGAATGCTCTCAAATTTGAATAACTCCATGAACACAATACAATCTGAATCAATCTTCTTATAAAACTGGAGTGGATCTATTGGAATATATGCCTTATCCCACTATCTTACATGCAGTGAATTAGTGAAAAAAAATTTAGTTACATAAAGCTCTACCAAATGCAAGTTAACTACTATTATCAAAATGGGAGAACCTACCTAGCTGCCCAGACATATTTCGACCCCATGCATATAAGGCTCCATGTGTTGTCAGAAGTACACAATGCTGACTTCCACAAGCTACTGCTCTCACAGCACCAAAGCCATGGGGCATCTCTACCTCCTGTGGGAGAAGGTGACCTAGATCACTGGGATCACAGGATGGCACTGTGTTTGCACTGACTTTTCGTGTTCCACTGGTAGGTACTGAGTCTGCAAATTATGGAAAGGAATATTATTATTGGTGGCAAAACAAATGTGTGCTGTACTGCATTTTAAGATCATTGGTATATAATACCAAAAAATGACGAATAAAACACGCATAACACCTGAGTATCTTTGAGACATTTTGTCCACCACTGTATCTGCTCTATTTCTTCCACTGGCTCCACTATATAACATTACATTCTCGCATCTTTATAAGCCAGATAAAGTCCCTGGTATGTAAAATCTCTCTCAATGAAGACACCCAAGGGTTACACATTTTTTATTCATCAACAAATATTGCACTACAATCATATAATATAGTATGCTAATACTGTAATACCACAAATTATAAACCATTTTTTTTTTTACTTGCAGTAACTGTTTTTGACTTTACTAAAAGGACACTAAAATTAAATAAATGTTTTTTATTGCTAGTATTTTTTTTAAACTCACCAGCCATTTCCCAGGGTGATTCAGAAAATATTCACCATCATTCATTCTTTAGCTGCCTTTCTGTAAGGACAAATAAAGTACACTGTGGACCCATCGATTTACAACCTCCTACTACACTTTCAAAGTGCACACACTCAATCCAGCTAGCAAATTTCCCCGAGTCCCTTCAAAGATGTAGTACTAACCTTAAACACGAACAGAATATCAAATCCACCCCTCCACATCTCCCCCAGAACCCCCCCCCCACCCACCCACCCACACACACACACACACACACACACTCACACACACACACACTCACACACATTCACACACACACACTCACTCACTCACACTCTCACTCACACTCTGTCTCACTCACACTCTCTCTCACCCACACTCTCTCTCACTCACACTCTCTCTCTCTCTCTCACACTCACACTCACACTCACTCTCTCTTACACTCACACTCACTCTCACTCTCTCTGGTCTGGCATAATCATGTTCAAGCCCGTACCATTCAACATATTCAGAAATCCCCTCCATCTTGTATAAATGGAATGTGATATTAACACAGAGTTGAAAAAATACTAAATGCCAACACTAGAATATGTTCATGGAAACATTTCACTCCTGGGTCCTTTGTCACAGGACCTGCAGGGCACCAATGTCCCAGGAAAGAAATTTCCTATAAAATGTTCTAGTGTTTATAGTTTCTCTTTTTCTAACTGCTCCCTCCATCTTTTGCACAAAGTATTTCCAATGTCTCACCCAGAGACCACACACTGCATCCAAAGAAGACTTAACTCTGAACTTTTTTTAATGTAAGAAACCTTTGTAACACAAATGTATCTTTTGGAAAACAAATTATTTTGGCAAGATTAAAGCCACTACAGTCAAATACATTCCAAGCTTCACATTCAATTAGCATATAAATATCTTTCCACAAAAACTTCTACCATGTTGCAACTTTTATTCACACTTCGTTTACGTGATTTGCATCATCCTTGAGAATCATCTGCTAACATCTGATTTGACATATCTTATACATTCACTTAACTCCATCTCTACATTCTGATGTCTACTCTTTTTCACTTCAACTTTTTTTAAATAGTGGCCATTCTCCACCAAAGCAGAGTTATCTAAAGAAAGAAACGTTCACCATGATACTAGACACAAATATCTCTATGACATACCCTGTGTCCAGCTTAATCTTTGCAAAAACTCAATGTGCATAAAAGGATCCAAAATCTGGAATGCCCTGCCAGAAATTTCCAGAGCCACCTTGTCTGCCAGCATCTTCAAAACTACCATAAAAAATAAAAACCTTTCACTAACATAGCCCAACAACTAAATATGATAAGAGTATATTTGCATATTCTCACTGCCACAAGCACATGGAAAGCAATATATTCTTATTCTCATAATCTGAAATTCTCACAACCATAAAATATATTTAATGTCTTTAAAACATGTTATTATGCTAGAAACCTCATTACCTGTAATCACAAGCCAAACTGTAATCCTTGAAATAATTCAACTCGATAAAAGTATTCAATGTAACTCCTAAATTTAGTGCTAACGTGCTAGAATCCTCATTACCTGTAATCATAAGCCAACCTGTAATCCTTTAAACAATTAAACTTGATAAGAGTTTAGTAGGATTGCTGATTTTTTTTTCTGTCTCATAAACATGCAAGATTTCAGGTATGTCTTGCTACTTCTACTTGCACTTAGGTCACACTACACTTGCATGAACAAGCATATATGTATATATACAGGCCCCTCTGGGTTTTCTTCTATTTTCCTACTAGTTCTTGTTCTTGTTTATTTCCTCTTATCTCCATGGGGAAGTGGAACAGAATTCTTCTTCCATAAGCCATGCAAGTTGTAGGGGGAGACTAAAATGCTGGGAGCAAGGGGGTAATAACCCTTTCTCCTGTATACATTACTCAAGTTAAAAAGAGAAATTTTTGTTTTTCCTTTTGGGCCACCCTGCCTCAGTGGGACATGGCCGGTTTGTTGAAAGAAAGAAGTGTTTAGTATGCTCTGCATACTAAGGATCTTCCTGCATGCACACCTAAATGTCACCATTGTATCATGCTGAAATAAACCATCTTTAATCTTAATTCAATCAATCACTGTTTTGCCAATTGCATGCAGACCCCATATGACTTACTTATTTATATTACCTTCATCTCTTCATGGACTCTCAACTTCTTTCTTTTATAGATCATTTTAAGTCCCTCTAGTAACCCCTGCAGCTTCTCTCCAGAATCTCCCAATAAAACAGTTTTCTACAAACTGCAACTGTGATAGTTCCCACCTATAATTACAATCAGTACTTTTCAGATACACACATCCCTCATTCATATACAGTTCTCTTACAACCCCATTTATAATACAACCACGAATTATTATACTGCATTTTACTGCGCACTTTTGGCAAAATAGCGATAGTGTGAATGATGGTGAAAATGTTCCTTTCACGGGTCACCCTGCCTCGGTGGGAGACAGCCAGCATATTAAAAATAAATATTTTTGTTACTATATTTTCATAATGCACTAAACCTACAGTGGTCATCACTGGTGGAGGCTCAATCCTCCAGGCTCTTTCCCATATGAATACATTTTTATTATTTTTTATTTCATAGGGGAATGCTAAGCCTGCAGGGGGTCACACCGTGCCTTGGAGAATGGACAGAAGTCAGACTCAATCCAAAGAAAGAGAGGGCACCTCTAATTTCTTGGATCAAGAACTCTTCACCAGTATCACAACACCTGTCTTCCTGGTAGTTACTCTCTTCCTCCCTACACACATTAATCTGTATCTCAATCCCACTCATAAAAACTCTTTACAGCTTTCAGCAAGTTAATACCTTTTTTATGCAGTGCATGTAACTCAGCTCACTAACTGACCATGGTATACTTCAAAGGGCATACAAACCAAAATTTAACAAAGATTCTTACAGATAATGACTATCATCAAAATAGGAATGCAACAAAACATTCTTTCCCTCAACAGTCTGATTTTTTAATATCATTATTACTGAAAAAATTTTGTATCGTTCCTGAAGATGGTTCCTATAAACTCAAAACCTTTAAACTGTTGCCCACACCTTCCCAAATGAAAGTATTTTTGAAAAGCAAAAATAGTAATTCTATTTTCTAGAATGGCAGGGAATCTTCTTCTAACAGTAATGTAATTTGATGTAATACTTATAGAATTACGAATGCACGAAAGATGGAGAAAGGGAGTACTTTGTGCAACAGTAATTTTGCACATTCTGAGCCTAATTTTAGACCAATTCCAGTACTCAAATCAACCCAATTCCCAGTTATTTTGTCATCCATGTTATCGACTGATCACAAGAAACTGCATGCTCAGTCATCAGAACTACCCTTAATAAGTGCTCTGAAGTTAGTAATATGGCTAATTTTACACTATTTTCAACACAGTCATAAACAAAAGCTGCATGCACTCCACCTACTAAAGCAGCTTTCCCTCTGGTAGGTAAGACACCTAGGCAACGGTTAGGCAACTTTATTCTAGAATAAAGTTGCCTAACTGTTGCCTGTGTCTTACCTACCAACCTGTCGGTATTGCATACCATTTTGATGTTCAGCTTTCCCTCTGTTCATTAATAACATTCCCAGACCTCTTCTATATAACACTTGACATCCATTTCAAATCCATCATTATACAAAAAATGATGTTTTATCCCTATTATTAAGCTAATAAATCTTCTCCATTTCATCAGTATGTCTTCAGATATATCTACTGGCATTAAAAAACCAGAAAAAACAAAGAGAATTCCCTTAAAAAAAATGCTACAGGTCACTATTTCAACCTCCACACAGGGTCAGAGGTTAGCTGTTCTCATCATGCATTGCATAGGGAAGGATTTTTTTTAAACTGAACACACCCTCTGCACAGACCCATTCACTCATGTCTAGGCCAAAATTTACCACTAACAGCAGTTTTGAGGGTGCTATGATTTATGAGTAGATTTATGGCATAGACACTGATCCCACTGACACAGATCTATGTTACCAACAGTTTTTTGGTTAAAACTACGTATCTAGTTATCAGAAAAATTACTGGATAGTTCAGTTAAACTGTAAATTTAAATCACAGAAAGAAACAGATTCATATAAAGCAAAGGAAAAAAACAAGGCTGATACAGTACTTATAAAATCATATTCCTAACCAAATATATTAATAAAACTTATGAATTTTCCTAAGCATGAGAGAGTGAAAAATTTAGAGCCAAGTATTTAAGCATCACACTTCACAGTATGGCGAGGAAAAGCACTGAATATGCCATCTTTGACTGATAGGAAGAAATGATAGACAACCATATTCAAGATTAGAAAAGGTCACAAAACTGATATGGAAGACTTCCTTATCAAATTAACTGAGAGAGAAAAAAAAAAGATTATAACTATAACCAAGACAATAAAATCCCCCCCTACAAAAATAAAAAAAAATGTAGTGCTTTCTTCCTTGATAACCAAGAGAAACCTAAGATCTGAGAGGTGTTGTACATTGCATGTACCATGTTGCCATTTATGAAGAGGAGATACACAACCATGAAATTTTTAAGAGTAGGATTATTATTACATTCATAGGGAAGCACTAAACTTCTAAGTCATACAGTGGCAAAAAGAGGAATGCATCAGAGTACAGTTGTATCAACACTCTTAAATGGATGTGAAGGATAGGTTTTAAATGTTGCAGTGATGAGGAGGCTGGAGGCAGTAGAGATATGTCTGAGGGCAGTGTGTGGTGTAAATATTATGCAGATACTTTATAGTTTGGAAATTAGAAGGTCTGGACATTTAGAGAGAATGGAACAAAATAGTTTGACTTGGAGGATATAAATTTGTAGTGGCGGAAAGGACGGGTAGCAGTCATCCAAGGAAAGGTTGGAGGAAGGTAACAGAGGAGGGTTTGTATGCAAGGAGCTTGGACATCCAACAGGCATGTGTGAGTGTGTTAGGAGTGGAAGCCAGCGATTTTTATGATTTAATGTGCTATTGGAATGTGGCAAGGTAACACTTATGAAGACCTGAGTCCTGGAGGTGGGAAGTAGTGCCTGAACTCTGAAGGAGGGATAGGGATATTGTAGTTTGGAAGTGCAACTGAACTATAATGTCAGAGTTCCTCTGGCAAGACAGTGATTGAGTGAATGATGGTGAGAATGTTTCTTCATTTTGGGGTCACCCTGCCTTGGTGGGAGGTGGCTGGTGTGTTTAAAAAGAATTTAACAAAGTTGTAGATGATATAGAAGTCTATTATGCAGTAGAAGCATTAGCAATAGAAGAATTATGGTTATTAGTAAAGACAATTATATTCATGTTTACATGCTAAATTCATAAAGTGTCTGAGGTATGGGAAGGATGGGAGAAAACAGGTTTGACCCAAGGGAAGGATAGCTCAAATTCCTGGGATCAAGAACCCCTTGAAAGGGGACTGAGCCTTTACACCTGTTAAGGCTCAATCCATCACATTAATAATACAGCTAATGAGTAATAAGAACAAATACAATTTAAAATTATGAAACACCAGATGCAAGTTTAGGCAACAGTTATAAGTCCAATCATTTAGAAACTAGTATGAAATTTGAGGATCTACAAAGTTTGTTGGTATGGGATAAATGAATAGGTCTAAAACCATGCATGGCGATGTCCTAACTACTGTATTTCATTTCTACAAACAGGGATAATGTGTTCAATCAAGGGCCTGTTGTGGGCACTCGAGACTAACAACTTACATTCTTCAATTTTTGAACTTTTGCTAGAAGAATCCTCCTTACTGCATATTTCAAGAGGATTTGAGCTACAATTGTTGCTTGTGCTAGATGAATTGGTACAGTTCTCACTTACATCCTTAGATATGTCTTCACTCGTATCACACTTCCCCTCTCCATTTCCCAAGAATTTTTCTGGTGATGGTTCTGGGGATATAACAAAAGACTTGTGATCATCACACTTGTCACTGTCCTCATCCTCAGGCAACGTTGTAATAGTTTCTTCACTATCATCTAAAGTTGTACATAGGGAAATGTCATCACAGAGATGTTCATTGCCATTAACAGCATCTACTTGCTCAGAATTACCATTAGCACCATTTGTAATAATACTCTTCTTATCATCATCAAGTGTTACACATGCTTCTTCACCTCCATCTACCTCTTTGTCATCTTCAACACTTTCATTACTGTTATCATTTTTAGTTTTGGCACTCTGTCTATCATCGCCACTGCACTTTTTCACGCCTTCTGCAGCTTGCTGGGTTGTCCTTGCCCGTCTCTGGAGTTGAGCTTGGACTCGTAGACATGCAGGATTATTGCCCCACATGTATACCTTGTGGTTTTTGGTTACAGCAATCTAAAAAAAACAGAAAGATATATAAAATTAAAGTACCCTCATTTCTTTTAATCCAGATGAGAAAATTATGGTTTGCTTCATGAAATAATAATCATGTATTTGTCAGTCATAGCACACAAAGTTATAATTATGGGGGAAGCGCTAATCCCTTATACATCGTACAGAATGCAAAATAATCAGATACAATCCAAGGAAACAGAGGATAGTTCCAGTTACTTGGATCAAGGGCCCATCACCAGCATTAGGGCATTCCTTAAAGGAACAAGACCAAGTCAAGGCACTTAAAAGCACACCTAAAAGGGGGCCCCCTCAACCTGAAAAGCACAAACATAAAAATCAACAAGTTAGATTATTTTCTTACATTCTGGAAATAGCCAGCAGCAAGGTGAGTTGCTGGCCCGGGCAATGGAACTCTCTCTGGCCTTGTCACCTTCACAATTCCACCATTGCCTATTTGACCATAGGTACCACATCCCCAGGCATACACATTTCCATTTGAGGCCATAGCAACACTATGGGCATACCCACCATCTGCAAACACTATATGCTGAAAAAAAAAACAGCAATTTTAATTATCTACTTCACAAACTAATAAATAATTTTGTGTATAGAATTTTTTTTTTCAACAAACCAGCCAAATTCCACTAAGGCAGGGTGATCTAAAAAGAAAAACAAAATTTTTTAAAAAGAAAAACAAAAGTTATTATTTTTAAATTTAGTAATTTATACAGGAGAAGGGGTTACCAGCCCCTGGCTCCCAGCATTTTAGCCACCTCTTATGACACACATGGCTTACAGAGGAAGGATTTTTCTCCACTTCCCCATGGATTATTATATACAGTGGACCCCCGGTTAACGAACTTTTTTCATTCCAGTAGTATGTTCAGGTGCCAGTACTGACCGAATTTTTTCCCATAAGGAATATTGTGAAGTAGATTAGTCCATTTCAGACCCCCAAACATACACGTACAAACGCACTTACATAAATACACTTACATAATTGGTCGCATTTGGAGGTGATCGTTAAGCGGGGGTCCACTGTATATTTTTTTTAACAAGGCGGCCGTCTCCCACCGAGGGAGGGCTACCCAAAAAGAAAGAAAATCCCCAAAAAGAAAATACTTTCATCATCAACACTTTCACCTCACTCACACATAATCACTGTATATGTATTCTTATTCTTCTTAGTAATCATTACAGGAAAAGGGGTTACTAGCCCATTGTTAAGGCATTTTAGTTGACTTTTACAACACGCATGGCTTACTGAGGAAAGATTCTTATTCCACTTCCCCAAGGATATAAAAGGAAAAGTAATAAGAACAAGAACTATTAAGATCAAATCAAAGAAAACTCAGATGAGTGTGTATAAATAAACGTGTACATGTATGTGTAGTGTGACCTAAGTGTAAGCAGAAGTAGCAAGACGTACCTGTAATCTTGCATATTTCTTCTTTCTTCTTTCAACGCACCAGCCATATCCCACTGAGGTGGGGTGACCCAAAAGGAAAAATGAAAGTTTCGTCTTTTAAATTTAGTAATATGTACAGGAGAAGGGGTTACTAGCCCCTTGTTCCCAGCATTTTAGTCACCTTATGACACGCATGGCTTATGGAGGAAGAATTTTGTTCCACTTCCCCATGGAGATAAGAGGAAATAGACAAGAACTAGAAAGAAAATAAAAGAAAACCCAGAGGGGTATGTATATATATGCTTGTACATGTATGTGCAGTGTGACCTAAGTGTAAGTAGAAGTAGCAAGACGTATCTGAAATCTTGCATGTTTATGAAACAGAAAAAAGGACACCAGCAATCCTACCATCATGTAAAACAATTACAGGCTTACATTTTACACTCACTTGGCAGGACGGCAGTACCTCCCTGGGTGGTTGCTGTCTACCAACCTACTACCTATTATTATTTTTGTTATATTTATAGGAAAGAGCTAACCCCCATAGGAGTCATATAGCACTTGGGGAAAAGGAAAGCAATCAGGCTTGATCCAAGGAAAGGACAGGTTCAATTCTTTACATCAAGAGCCCCTGATGAGCATCAAGGAACCTTCCCTGAGGGGACAAAATGGAATCAATTTTATACAGAACGGACTTGAAAAAGGCTTGATTTAAGATAATTATAGCATTAGATTTGAATTCAAATGCTATGCATTCATAGAAAAGATTTCAAATTTTCAATCATCTAATTACATGCAGTGGAACCTCAAATTTTAAACTTTCTTCATTCCAGAAGGCTGTTCGAGTGCAGTTACCAAATGAATTTATTCCCATCAGGAATAATGTAAATTAGATTAGTCCATTTCAGACCCTCAAGAATACAATTATAAAAGCACTTACAAAAATACACTTACATAATTGATTGAGTTGGAAGCAATGTAATAAAGTTGGTAGAATTACCGACAACATGTAAATTTGAGGTTCCACTGTATCTGGTTAAAAATTTAGAAAACTGTTAGGTGCAAATCAATGATTGAAGAAAATACAATAAAATATAAATACATTTTTCAGTAATGCATCACTTATGGTGCACAGTACAGCGTCTCCTCACTTAGCGATGTACTCGTTTACCAACAACTTAGACTTACGATGGGCTCTCTGACAAGTATGCATACCTAGATAATGTATATTAGAGCTGATGTCCTATATTCTGTTAATTACAATATAGAGTACACTACTGTATAAACATTTAAAAATATACCAGAAATGTTATAAATGGTGCAAAGGTGACATGAAAACAATATCAAAGATGCTTGACACAAACCCATTATCATTGGTGAAATGCCTATGATTTTAAACTGATAGAAGATAGAGGTATGGGTGTGTGTGGGAAACAAGCAGGTTGCAATACTAGGGTTGGAAACAGTAAATGTATAAAAGGCATTCAGCATGAGATATAAATAAAGGCAATAGATCAGGTCAGCAAACAAAGGGGGACAGCAGAGGGCAGCAAGGGACTAGCTCCCTTAAGGTTTACTATAGGTGTACTAATAGCAGGAGTGTAAGAAATAAGATAGATGAGCTAAGATTAATTGCAAGTGCAGGAAACATAGATATTATTGCTATAACAGAGACCTGGCTCAATCTGAAAGATAGAGAGATGCCCTCTGAATGTCACATACAAGGCAATAAATTATTCCACACTGACAGGGTCAACAGGAAGGGTGGTGGAGTAGCGATGTATGTCAGAGACAATTTAAATTGTTGTGTTAGACAAGATATAAAATTAGAAGCGTCGGCCACTGAATCTGTTTGGTTACAGCTTCTCGAGGGCCGAGAAAAACTAATTTTGGGTGTGATTTACAGGGCCCCAAATCTTGATAGGGAGTGCAGTAAACTTCTATGGGACGAAATTCGTAAGGCATCTACATACGAAAATGTTGTGCTAATGGGAGATTTCAACTATAGACAGATTGACTGGAGCAATTTGACAGGAAATTTAGAGTCAGGTGACTTTCTTGATACGATCCAGGATTGTTTTTTAAAACAGTTTGTGACAGAGCCAACTAGGGGAAATAACCTCCTTGACTTGGTTCTTGCCAGTAGGGAAACACTAATTTATAATCTTGAGGTTAATGATGAGCTTGGGGAAAGTGATCACAAATCACTCAGTTTTAATATATCATGGAATTCCCTAATAATGGCAATCAAGTCTCCGTCCCTGACTTTCGCTTGGCTGATTTCATAGGACTGAAAAATTACTTAGGTGGGCTGAACTGGAATGACCTGACTAAGGGTCAGGTAGGTGGTGATGGTTGCCGATATGACGCTTTCCAGGGCATAGTTCTAGCTGCTCAGTCAAATTATGTTCCAAATAGGGAAATCAGATCAAACAAAAATGATCCTAAATGGATGAACAATAGATTAAAATATCTGATTGGTCAAAAGAGAGGCATACATAGGCAAATCAAAAGAGGAGAGGGGCAATTAAGAAATCAATATATTCAGTTAAAGAGAGAAATAAAAAAGGGAATTAGAAAAGCAAAAAGAGATTATGAGGTTAAAGTTGCAAGAGAATCGAAGACTAACCCAAAAGGATTCTTTCAGGTATACAGAAGTAAGATCAGGGACAAGATAGGCCCACTCAAAAGCTCCTCGGGTCAGCTCACTGACAGTGATAAGGAAATGTGTAGAATTTTTAACACATACTTCCTCTCAGTTTTTACACAGGAGGATACCAGCGATATTCCAGAAATGATAAATTATGTAGAACAGGACGATAATAAACTGTGCACGATTAGGGTCACAAGTGACATGGTCCTTAGGCAAATAGATAAATTAAAACCTAACAGATCCCTAGGCCCTGATGAACTGTATGCAAGGGTTCTAAAGGAATGTAAAGAGGAGCTTAGCAAACCTCTGGCTAATCTTTTCAACATATCACTACAAACTGGCATGGTGCCAGATAAGTGGAAAATAGCAAATGTGATACCTATTTTCAAAGCAGGTGACAGGTCCTTAGCTTCGAACTATAGACCAATAAGCCTAACCTCCATAGTGGGAAAATTTATGGAGTCAATAATTGCCGAGGCAGTTTGTAGCCACCTTGAAAAGCATAAATTAATCAACGAATCTCAGCATGGTTTTACAAAGGGGTGTTCCTGCCTTACGAATTTATTAACTTCTTTCACTAAGGTATTTGAGGAGGTAGATCATGGTAATGAATATGATATTGGGTATATGGACTTCAGTAAGGCTTTTGACAGGGTCCCACATCAGAGACTATTGAGGAAAATTAAGGCACATGGAATAGGAGGAGACATTTTTTCCTGGATAGAGGCATGGTTGACAAATAGGCAGCAGAGAGTTTGCATAAATGGGGAGAAATCAGAGTGGGGAAGCGTCACGAGCAGTGTTCCACAGGGATCAGTGTTGGGCCCCCTGCTGTTCACAATCTACATAAACGACATAGATGAGGGCATAAAGAGCGATATCAGCAAGTTTACCGATGACACCAAAATAGGCCGTCGAATTCATTCTGACGAGGACATTAGAGCACTCCAGGAAGATTTGAATAGACTGATGCAGTGGTCGGAGAAGTGGCAGATGCAGTTTAATACAGTGGACCCCCGCATACCGATGGCATCACATAACGATTAATCCGCATACCGCTTGCTTTAATTGCAAAAATTTTGCATCGCATACCGCTTAAAAACCCGCTCACCGATTTTCGTCCGAGACGCGTCCAATGTGCGGCCTGAGGCACGTTCACATGTTCCGCCGGTGGCATTGTTTACCAGCCAGCCTCCGCGGTAACATCCAAGCATACAATCGGAATATTTCGTATTATTACAGTGTTTTCGGTGCTTTTTCTGGAAAATAAGTGACCATGGGCCCCAAGAAAGCTTCTAGTGCCAACCCTACAGCAATAAGGGTGAGAATTACAATAGAGATGAAGAAAAAGATCATTGATAAGTATGAAAGTGGAGTGCGTGTCTCCGAGCTGGCCAGGTTGTATAATAAACCCCAATCAACCATCGCTACTATTGGTGGTACAGCTGCTGCTGCTGCTGCACTGTCAGCTGCTGCTGCTGCTGTA